CCCGCACTATGGACTGGGTGACCTCCTTCTAACGCCTCTTATCGGATCTTATCAACTGATATCACTTCCTGTCACCCACCAATAGTGTTCCCGTCACACCCCTACATCACTGCTTGGAATCAACTTCCTACAGCTACTGGGACCGGCGCTATGAATTTCGTGACAGACAGACAGACGCACACACAAACATACACACACACACTGACAGACATACTTAGCGAATTATATACAGTAGGATGAAGCATTAGACAACCGAACCAGTCCGATATGTATCAACAATTTTTTGCACAGCGTAATGTCGCTTTTGCTTTACAATTATGTTGCACGCTCACGAACCACTACATACTTATTGAAATCTCCCGGAGAGCTGATGTTAAAGCAAAATGTCGAAACGTGGTCCGCTACTAACTACTGTCCGCATCTGTCAGCGGACTTATGGTGGAATCGGGCCTCTGAAGAAGACGTCCAACTCGAAATGTTAGTCCGTAAAATAATGTTCCCACCTAAAAACCTCGAGAGGCACAGCAGTATATATTCCAACGTGATTTCCTCCAATATTATAGCGGTCGCTCAGCACTCTAATTCTTTCCTTTTGCGGCCTTTGCACGTGTTTATCGCGACAGGGTTCCTCATCAGCCCGCCTGTCATCTGGCCGTGACGCTGGCACCGACACCATTTCTTCAGTGAATAACGCCACGACGTCGGTCGGAAGCGGCCCGCACGTCGGTCGGAAGTGGCCCGCACGTCGGTCGGAAGTGGCGCGCAGAGCCTTCGGCCGACTTCTGTAGTATACGAGGGTTACAGGAGGATTAATGAACTCAGTCAAAGAAGCTGGTTCGAATTGCGACTCTGAACGTGGGGTCGCTCACAGGGAAATTCCGAGAGGCCGCTGATGCCGAGATCAGAGAAGTGGATATGATGGCATAACTTGAATACATGGGGAAGGATGCGCAAAAAGAGTACTATGTTTCTACGTATAGTAAAATCCTGATATATGGAGAATAGAGATATTTCAAGTGGACTGTTCGGACAATAGTACATACATGATACCAAGCGCAAGGTGCAATCCGATTAAATATCCAGAAATGCTGCAATGACAAATCTTTTTCACCGATGTGTGAACTTTTATTTGAAGCGATTTCTTAGGCGATTTCCTCTATCAAAGTGCAGAACACGTGGACTGTAGGTTCATTTACAAAAAGTGCAACACACTAGATACTGCTGTCTGACAAGGATTATCATAAGACTCTGATCGGAATGTACTGTGAAAAGGTGTAGAGAATAACCTATAAAAGGGGTGGATGATGGGCACAAGGTTATCGCAACCAGAATGTTGTTCGCTATCGCAGGATTGTGCTTCCTCCTCGCGAACGTGCTCGGTGATTACAGTAAGTGCTGTTGTTGTATTGTTACGGTTTGCAAAAACACTTGCTCGAGTTGTGCATTGCTTGCTGATTTTCACACGAGAAATGTGCAGTGATTTTCAGGTTCTCCAACGCTTGATAAGTGCCTCACTTACAAGGCAAACAACAATTGGTATAAGGAGTTCCATCTATACTACAACCGGAATTTGGTCAGTACCCCCCACCCATATCCAAGTCATCCTTTAGGTCACATAGCCTTCAATAAGCTAATACGATTCTAAATGGGAGTCGGAATGCTTGCCGCATCGAAAAGGAAATCGATGAAAAGGAGTCTTTATCCTTTATAACTTACTGCACACATCATCCCTACGTGCTCGAGCGAACTTCCCCTTATCCAGATTTAGTTACAGTGCCCGAAAATGACTCGGTAGACTGTACAAATAAAAATACATCTGTAACTGCCAGCTGGATTTGAATGTGCCCTTTGAAGGGTAGTTGAAGGCAACCTGCGATTGTATGTGGTGGATAGTGCCGTGTACAAACCTAACCTCACTACATAGGTGACTCCTCAAAAGAGAAAAAGGGAAAAAATCGATAAGGGCTAAGAGTTTTCTGGACCAGCTCAAGTTATGCTAGCAAAGGGATATACTGCTGCTTTTGGCTCACTAATCAATTAATTATCATGCGAGAAAAAGAATTCTCAGAAATAGAGGATCAGACCGTACAAAGAAGGACGAACACGAATTGCTTAGATGCGGGGACTGCCTTTAACGTTAGCGCCTGAGACTTTTACACTCTGAACGTAACTGACAATACCTTTTCAACTTTCCACACCACTAACTAAAAACATTACTTTGAAGGAATGGGACGATGAGCTCTCGAATGATGCTTGCAATGAGCTGGTGACTGGAGTAGAGTATGGTGCTTACGCTCGGTACAAGTCAGAAAAGTTGGTGCATGCCTGGAGATGGATTTGTTTTTTGTTAAATTTCCTCTTAATAGAATGTTTTCTTTGTTTATTCAAAGGTCTTTCGACGATAACAGCGTATCAGTTGACAAGGTACGAGCTACTTTCTTCGCTGGACTAAAACAAGATAGAAGTAAAGTGAGTCTGAACCTCTTCAGTTACTAGGTTATCTGCATAGTTACCAGGTTACCTTTGCACATGGCCGGAATGATCTGATGCCAAAGTTCTGTTACTAAATTAGCATCTTTTGGAAACTTTGACAAGGAGGTTTCGGGATTTCTAGACCATCTGTGGAATGAAAAGTAACGGTGTGGCGCTGCCGAAAAGCTGTTCTAGAGGGGAACGCTGCAAAATGGGCACAACATTCTAAAACGTTTCAACGTTTCTTAATTCTTAAGTTTGTTCAGGTGGAAATGGTGAAGTCCTTCAAAGCAGGGAGGAAATATGGATGCAACGGCAAGTTCGATGGTAACGACCTGACAGTTCTGTGCCTCTATGAGCCTTGAGGCAAACGTGGAACATCTGCACATTTGAAAGAAAGAATTTTAATAAAGTTTTTTAGAGCAGAGATGTAGTGTTGATAAGAGTTCTAAGGAGAGGAGACTTTTCCTTTCATACCAAGCCGCGACAAAGCTGTACTTGGCAATCCATATGTGAGTAAAAGTAAACCAACTGCTGACTTAAAAAGTGTATAGCAAGCCCGCAAAATCGTTTACCATGGCAAAGCTTCGCTTCTGAGGTATTTTTCTCCTTGCTAGTTTTGTTCAATTAAAAACAAGTGGCACGATGAATCCCTCCCCCAAGACGAGTAGGATTATTACGCTGAGCACATCAGAATTCGGTGCCTTTCCACGGAAGGTATCCGAACGCCCTATCAAGCTGTAACATACCGACCCAGACGCCCGCCGCTCACCCACGAATGTCCGAGCGATGCTGATGTTCGCATCTCATTTGCGAAGTACAATAGAAAGAGACGGATTCTATGAAGCGGCTGCGGTGCTGCCTGGATATATAAGTAAATAAATGCATAAGTTCCTACCGTGGCGGTGACT